GTGTCTTGTACAAAACTTGCTCTGTGGGTGATGAGCGGTTTTAGGATTGATTCAACGAAACCTGGTATTTCCTCAGTTAGGGTCCCATGGTTGGATATGATAGGTCTGCCAGGGTTCCCTTGTTTGTGGATTTTAGGGAGCATGCAAAAAGTCCCCGGGTTAGGTAACGGGGGGATCAAGGTCTGTAGTTTTTCTTGTAGTCTTGATGGAAATAATTTGATGGTATTGTTGAGTTTCATGGTGAAACGGGGAGTAGGATCTTCTTGTAGGTCTTTGTAGTAGGTGGGGTCAGAGAGCTGTCTGTTGGCTTCCTTTATGTAGTCTTCACGGTTTAGGATGACTATGGCTCCTCCTTTATCTGCTGGTTTTATGACACATAACCTGCCTGACATCTGATTCCCCAGGTATCTCTCCACTATTCATCCCCCTACTCTTTCTTTCCCTGCCCCTCCAGCCTGTCTCTCACCCACTGACTCCTCAATCTACATTTTCACTGACTACCTGTCTTGTATGCATACCAGCCCAGCCGCTGGCTTCTTCACTTTTCATTCCATCCAGGAAGAGCACACACCAACTGCTCAAACTTCCTTAGCCTGATGAAAGACTGCTTAATAATTGTTTTCCAACTACTTAGGTTGGTCTAATAAAAGAGATCAGATTCACCCAAAGAACCTGTCTGCCTCGTTACTGAGCAGCTTCCTCCCAAGGCCACAGGAGGGAGAGCAGTGTGCAAGCAGTTTGCTGGGCGCAAGAGGCAAGAAAGAGAAGACGGCCACCGGGTCCTGCTCCACGAGAGACAAGGACTGCACCATCTTGTGCTGCCCCAACCGTGGTGCTGAGGCGAAGTCAGGCAAGCGTTTGAAGGCAAAGGTGATGACTTTGCCTGGGATAACTCGTTTCGCTCCACCCCAGTCCCGCGGCCCGCCTCCGCCATGTTTCCTCTGAGGTGGAGGCGAGCCGCACCCCGCCCCGCTCCTGCGCGCTCTCGCCAATGAGCTGTGCAGCTGAGGGGCGGGGGCGGGGCCAGCCTCGATCTCGTCCCGTCGCTTCTATATAAATCCACCGAGAGGCTAAGCTCGTCCTTTTCCTCCTTGCGGAGCGGAGGTAGCGGTGAGTTTATGTCGCGCCACGCTGCGCTCTCCCTGACCCTGGGGCAGCCCCTGAGAGGCGGTCTTCCCCCGCCCTCCCCCTCCATGGGGCGGCCGGCTGGCCGGCCGGCCTGCGCTTCGCCTCAGCGGCCTCGGGTGTAAAGACAGCGCGGACTGCAGCTTCCGGCATGCCCCGCGGGGCGCGCAGCGCATGCTGGGAGTGGCGATCGGGCCGCGAGGAGCATGCTGGGGCAAGCGGCTCGTCACCTTCCTGGCGCCGCTGGCTGCGATCATCTCGCGACATCCTGGGACTGGCGTCTTGGCTCCCAACCAGGATATTTAATATGGGGATTGCTGCCTGCCCTTGTCAGATCCGGCGGTTGCTTTACCAGGGACGTCCGCGTGGGCGCCCTGGTGGGAGTCATGTTGCAGCTCCACCTTCCTGGAAGGGTCTGAAGCATGTGCAACTTCTCAATGACTCTTGTTCCTTATCTCAAGGACTTGCTGCTTATTTTCTTTATTCTAGGAATAAAGACAAACTTATTCTAGAAACTATGCAGATAAAGCTTACAGTGATCTGCTGGCTGCTGCGCAGAAATGCTCAGGTATGGGTCTAAGAAGTTTTTAGTTGGTTTGAATGCCCCAAAGTTACCTAGTTTTGTTGAATGTTTTGTGTAGAGAAGTCTTCGGATTATCTATTTGAAACTATCCTCTCAGGGTAGGTGCTAGAGGGAGAATTGGGTTGGGTGTGAAAGGAGACAAAAACAGTAAACTGCATTTAATGGATTTGTACCACATGGTCATTTTCCAGTTGTTAAACAATTCCCTACCTTTGCTGTTTCTATTTGGCATCTACTGCAGACAAGCAAATATCTGTTGTTTACAGTCACTTTTGCTGTTACTGTTTGATTAACTACATAACTTTCCTGAGACATCTACTTAGATGGCTTTAGCCTTGGTATACCTTGTGGGGCTAGTGGTTTAGCAGCTTTGGCTTCAAACACAGCTGACCACCTTTGAGTAGTCATAAAGGAATCTCAGACATAAGTTTGTGGCTGATCATGGTGAGTCGCATATAGATGTGCATGTTTGTAGACTTGGGGCATAAGTCTGATTTGTTTTTTGTTTTTTTTAAAAAAAAGTCCCCTATTGTTACATAATACAGGGTTGACTGGTCAGTAACATGGGTGCCACGTGGCATGGGCAGCCTCCATTGCAGCACTGCTAATTGGGAAGGGAACAGGCAACAGTGGCAGATAGGGCAAGGACCTGGATGCAGAAGACTGCAGGATCTTGGTGCAGGGCACAGAAAGATAAGCAGGAGATTGGGAAAGGGGAAGCACCAGGAGTGGCACTCAGAGGGTGTGGGGCTAATCCGTAATAGTAAAGTGGCCTTTGGAAATTAGAAACACGTGTTTATGCAGTTTCACTCTGAGAATTGTTTGAATCTCATCTCAAAGTAATCTATTTTTCATTCCGAGTGAGAAAAGGAAATCTGTTGGGCAATTTACAGCTCATAATTTATGTTAAAAAGCCTGCTAAAGTTTTGGGGTTTTTTTCTTCCTCTCTCTGATGCATCAGCTGAAGCTTTGTCATGACATGTACTTTAAATTCCCAGGGGCAAGAAACATGTCTTAATGGTGGTACATGATTGTTAAACCACAGCTGGGACAGTATAAAGTGTTCTCAGACTATATAACCTGAATTTAAAGTTTGTGTTGTTTGCGATATATGAATGAAGTATTGCTGTTTGGTGGACTGCATCACTTTTTTTTTCCTCTCTCAATTTTAGGTCCAGACCTTCATGAGAACATCAACAAATTTAGAAGAATATTTGTGTTATTGTGGGTGGTCCTAAATACAAAAAATTGAGAAGTATGTTATGAGTGATTCACTGAAATGTAGATAGATAAAAATAGAATACATGATTTATCAGATTTAGGTATTGATTGATCTGTTACTGATGTGTATCCATTTAAAGGGGTATAATTCTTTTTTTTTGCTTTCAGCCCTGTTACATTTTTCTGTATTGTAAATCCGGTAGCATAAGGATGGGTAGCTGAACTGTGAATGAGCCCCAGGTGCTGCCTGAGGGAGATGGGGGCACTGCAGCATAGCTGGAGGGGCCCTTATCCTCCCATCCACTGTTCCCTCTGCATGAAGCACTTGTAATGCAGGAGCCTGTCAGTTTAGTGGAGGATCTTGGGAGGAATGCAGTTTTGTCCAGCAGCAGCTGGATTCTTCTGTTTGCAGTTTTCTGCCACTGAAACCAGAAGTGTTTTTGCCTGCTTAACATGGGCATCTGCAGCAAAAAAGGTGGTATTTCTCCTCAGTAGCAGCAACCTTTAGCTGTTACACTTGCTTGCTCCCACTGCTAGAGCCTCCAGGGCCAGAGTCTCTGGCCAGTTAAGCCTCTACTGTAAATCTAAAATGGTCAAGAGTTTGGAGGACTTGGGGGAGAGGTATGTTGTATGGTTTAAGTCAGTGCTTTGGGAGATGGTAACAAAATGTTTTGAATATTCATACTAGACTATAAAATAGTACAAGCTGTCTGTCATTTAGCAAGATAAACTAACTTAATAAAAGGCCTTAAGGATGAGATCAGACTTCATGCAGCAAAAAACTGTTTTTGGGATTTTAAACGAAGAGAATAGGCAGACAGTTGCTCATGTTTTATTAAAATATACTTGCTAATCATGTTCCTCAGGCCCCTGACACGTTACCTATGTGACCCTAAGAGTGAAAAATTGGTACTGAGTTGGGTTTCTCTGGGTTTTAATAGGTGTGTAAGCTATTTCACCCCTTACCCCACCCCTTCCAGAAAACATCAGAGGTGGACTGTAAGTAATGGTTGTGTATCAACACTTTTAGCTTATATAAAATACCTATAAAAGTAATAGCCTAGATAAATGAAATTAGGTCACTTCTAAAATTAAGAATATGCAATATTGGTAGCAGATTTTAAGTGGTTGCCTTATTTCTAGTGTGACTTAGGAGCATCCAGCATATAATGAGAGTGAACACCAGCAACACTGGGAGAAATACCAGCCACTCCAGTACAACTTAACTTTAAAATGATGGATAATTTGACAGTTACAGTATGCTCATCTCCCAAGAACAAATGGCGCTGTTCAGGTAATATAAAATGTAGGGCATAAGTTTTGGAGCAGAGAATGCATGTTTAGAAGCTGCAGAGGTGTAGGTTGTAGCTGTGTATGGAAGCTAAACTTTTTCATCTAATACAAAGCACTTTTTTTTTTTCTCCCCAATCCTTTCTTACCTTTATAAAAGTATATGTGATTTGTGGTCATGGTGCTGACTTAGTTTATTCAAGTAAGTGCTCCCAAGGTACTAAAGAGAAGAATGCACATAATATAGCTATTTTGAGTAGCAATCTCAACCATTATAGAAATTGTATTGCAATGGATTTGTTTCCTTGTATTTCTCTTTGAGGTATAATTGTAGAAATTGTTTTAAAGTGGTCTGTCAGTGAGGAAACTATCCCGAACCTGATTTGCTGATGAAAAACTTATTGCGGATCTGGCTTCTGAGATCAGACCACCTCTCTTTCTTTTAAAAGTTGCCTTATGGCATAAGGGTTAACCTGGTGACACCATTGTTCTGTGCAGTGTAAGAACAAGACTATATGAATATAGACTGTAAACATTCCCCCCTCTCTCTCTCTCTCTCTCTCTCTCTCTCTCTCTCTCTCTCTCTCTCTGAGACAACAACCTTGAGAGTCCCATAATACGTTTTGTAATATGTCCCAGAACCGTTTGTTGGCATTCATATTTTGGTTCGCTTCCAGGAGTGCAGCAGCATGTTTTCCTAATATGAGAGAACTCAGGACAGTAAATTGTACTTAACTGAAGGCGGTGGGGGGGAGGGCCAAGTTGAGAGACTGAAATAAGATCTTCATTTCTGAATGAGAGTCTACACTGGGTTTTAATGTGATGTTTAACTAATACGTATTTAGTTAATTAGGATTAATGATGCTGAGTGGTGGGTGATGTGTAGACAAACCTATGGGTAATAAATTTTGACGTCTAACATATAGTACCCATTCAGCACACTAGCTTCCTGTGTGCAGTACTAGATGCATTTTTTCCCCCCCCTTTCATTCTTGATAGGGAAGGGAATAAGAAACCTTTACTTCATTACTCAGGCAAGATTCTGCCTTTGTATTTAATGATAGTTATAGTGGAAATAAGATGCTTCTGAACAAAGTTTTAAAAATGTAAATGAATATGCTAGGCTTTGGTACTGTCATTTTTACTGAAATTTTGTGCAACTTCTCGTTCTAGAAATGTTCAATGGCTCATTGTACTGAAGGTACGTATTGTAGTAAGTCTCGATAATTATGAAGGTTGGTAGGGGGGTGACATATGTCTGATCTGTGATGAAACTATCCCGAACCTGATTTCTTGATGAAAAATCTTATACGGATCTGGCTTCTGAGATTAGACATCCAGAATTCATGTCTTACAAATGCTGAATGCATTTCAGATTTAAAGGGTGAATTCTTGGTAGTAGTCATATGACTTTACTGTGAAAATTGTAACCAGTTTACTCTTGCCAATTTACTACGCTTAACAATTTATGCTAATTCTTATGCAGGTGACACATGGAGTGTTGCCTGGCTTATTTGTACTAAATGGTACTAGTGTCTATATTGTCCATTTTTCTTTGCTTTTAATAGAGTATAGTGTTTCATCAGTCATGTGTGACTTCCTAGCTAAATTGATAATCCACCTGAAATCTTTGGTCCTATTTTCCCTTTTTGTTGCAGTAATAAAGGTTAAGTGGTTTAGGTACCTGTATAATGTATTAAAAGCAGCCTGGATGCAAGTTTCTAATTTAGTAATACCTGCTAGTTTGACCTACTCACGTTGGGTTTTTTGGTTGGGTTTTTTTTTAATGCAAGTAAGATTAATTTTTCTTTTGGGTAGCATCTGCATTTCTGAGTTCAGAAGGATAGGGAAGCAGGAATCTCTTCATCTTGTGTTTCATTCATGTGCCCTGTTAAATGGCCAATTACCCAATTACAGTATACCAAAAAAAAACAAATAAACTATATGTGAGCAAGGGAAGGAAGTGATAGTTCAGAATATTAAGGCAAACTTCTGGTCACGTTAAATTTTCAACTTCATAAGTTTTCAGATTACTGAATCTGTTTTAATGTAACTATGAAACATTATTCTTAATTAGAACTGAATAAGTGTTAGAACACTTGTGTGCTTAAGAAGAAATTTTTTTAAATTCTTGTTTGTTCATTAATGCTATTTTCTTTAACAGTGAAATAGCCAAAAAAGTAGAGGGGAAGAAGCTTTTATTCAGGTACGTAATTAAAAAAATAAATGCATCACCTCTTACTGAAAAATAGTATGGTTCTGTTTTACAGTTCTGGATTTCTAGCTTTTGCTAACAAGTTACCTACTTTAGCGCAGCTTTAACTTGGTAGGATAACTCTTCTGTTTTGTCCTGAATTAAGAACATTCCTTTCTTTCCAAGGCAATGCATGTCACTAACCATACTTAGCCTTGGAATTAATCAGGTGTTCTTTTCTAATCTACAGGAGCCTCTTTAGAATGGCTCTGTGACTCACTACTTCCTATATGCTCTATCCTATGACATACTGTTCACGGTATAATTTATTTAAACTTAAGTTTACAAAATGGTGAACCTATACACAATACCACATGTGATTCAGTTTACATTATTCTTACTCAGTCTCATCTGTGATGATGCTATCCCGAACCTGAATTTATTGTTGAAAAAACTCAATATGGATCTGGCTTCTGAGATGAGGGAGAGTATTGTATAAATTAGTCCATCAGCTCTTTGAGTATAAAAACGTGTTTTCTAATGGTGTATCTTGATTGTTTTAGACACAATGTAAAATTTTCTGTAATTAGTTTTTGGGTTTTTTTTTTTTTTTTTTTTTTTATGGACTTAGTTTCTCATTTCAATTGAGCCATCCTTTAGATCTTTCTTTCCTTTTTCCAGTGATGAGTTGGAACATTTGTATCAACATCACCTGACAAATGTGGATGATGTGACTGGAAAGAAATGTAACACCTGAAGAGAAATCTTTCTGTTACTTGAACATGGAGATCAAGGTTAAAAAAAGCAAACAAAAAGCCCATAACTAAGTTTCTGCTTCCAAAATAGCTATTGGAAATGTTTTACTTTTTTTGAAGCATCCTGTGCATTGGAACCTATCATTCTCTGTCAGTTCAAAATGAACAACCTTGTGGAACGCTAACTTCTAATGAAAATTTGTCCTATAAACTACATGTGAAATCAGAAAAATAAAATCTGTTTTTCTATATCAGTCAGGCTTGAAATCACTCCTGTTTTCAGACGTTCATTCAGGAGATTAGTGTGATTACAGGAAAATTTAAAAAGTATTTCAAAACAACTGAAATAGAGCTTTCTGTCTAGGGAAGTTTGCTCTCATGATAAAGAGTATATTAAAGACAGTATGCAATTCTCTATATCAAGATGCTTCCTAGCGTGTCGGCTGCATCTTGAGGTGGGTACACATTTGCTGATACTGAAAAAGTTTTTGATTATTAATGATCAGTGACAGAAATCACAATCACTTCATGCAGAAATTAAGTGTACAAATTAATAAAGGTCTTCAAAATGAGGCTTCTCCCTTTTTGAGCATAGCATTTCCTATGAGGTGAAAGAGGAAGTAGATGAGGTGCTGGTTTCAAATCAATGAAAGTAAAAAATATTGAATGTTTGTAACAAAGCAAAATTTGAAACTCATGGGAGGAGTTGGGGTTAAACAGAAAATTTGAGACCAGAGTATGGGTATGACATTCTGTATACAGTAATGGGGAAAGAAGAAGTAGGGTTTTGTGCACTACTGTCTAAATAGAATGAGAAGACCAATATTGCTTGGTCCCCCTACCCTATTGTGGAACCTCTACCCCTAGCGATGCTGTTTGCTCTTTGTGTGGAAAAGAGGTCAGTAGAGGGAAAAGCAGTAGCAACATGGGAGCTTCTGCTTTAAAGCCACTTGTAAAAATAACCATGCCATAACATGGGAGCAACATATATGCTTCATTCAGCAAGCTGTCTAATTCAATTAGGAAAGGAATGGAGGATAGAGATCAATCATCTGATTAGCTTGACTTTTCATACACTCCACTGAGTAGCATAACGTAGTCTGCCCTGTGCTATATCCCTCACACCGCAGACAAAAAAGCTGTATGAAAGAAGGTTACAGACATCAAATGACAGAAAAAAGTCAGAGTATAGGAAAAACCATCCTACATTCTGCTTAATGCAAAACTGGCAAAAATGCTAGCAGTGGATTTGGAGACCTCTTCACTTGTAGAGGTGGAGGGCTTTCAGAATCTTGCAGAATATGCTGCTCCCAAATAGTGAATACCTAGTAAAACGTAACGCATCGTATTGGCACTGATAAAAGGAAAATGGACATTAGGGTTTTTGGGGTGTGTTGTGTTTTTTTTTTGTTTGTTTGTTTTTTTTGCTGATAATGTCACCAATGAATGCTGCGTGCATGTGCACAGCCACAGCCAGCCCAGCAGCATGGAGAGCAGCACCTGGCTGGTAAGTCTGTTGGGTGCGGGGAGCAGATCAAGGCCTCTGTGGTGAAGGAGGGAGTGGGGCTGGGGCAGGTGCTGCACAGGGTGGGCAAGGCATGGAACCGCTGTGAGTGGCTTGGGGTAGGGTGGAGCTCCCACCCCTGTGCATATCCCTGGGAGAAATGGGGGCATGTGCCCCCCAGATCATGGGGCAAGGGCAAGCTGCCATGGGCTGGGGGTGCCAGGCTCTTCCTGTGTTGGGTTGGGACTGCACTTGGTGGGCAGCGATGGGAGCCAATCCCCCCACATACACATGCTCGCTGAAGGAATCACTCATGGCTCCATCCTATGCCATCTCCCACTGGTACAGTCCCTGCCCCATCTCTACTCCCACCCTCACCATGGGAGCCTGGATTTACTATCCCCTGACCTTCTCCCCCTCCAGGCGTACCAGTCAGACGCCGCTCTCCAAACTGCTGGGCTGTATATCAGCAATCAGATTGGATATGGGTTGTTAATCAGACGTTGGTATTGACCCAAAAAATCTCTCTCAAAGCAATGCTCTATGGTTGTACAAAACTGCATGTAGCTGTGTTGAAGGCACTGAGAATACAGGTGAAGAAGATCCATCTGATAACCAAAATGTGGATGAGTAATCGGACTATGGACTAAATGTATATACCAACACCTGGTATCTCCTCTTCAGTTACTTTTTGATACAGGGTACCCTAGCACTTTGGCTGCAGACAACTGCCTCTAAGCAGTTTTAAAACATGCAGTTTTAAAAAGTCCTGTAATCCCTCAAATATACTACAGAAGTTGCAAAATGTTGTACAGTAGCACTCCCCTTGCTCACTTTCAGTGGGATTTAATACTTCTGATAATGGAACAATTGTGTGTGCACTAAAAAAGAGGTTATTTATGTGCCACATTTTGTACATATTGATGTGATACTCTTCCTGAATACAAGTGCATATGCAAGAAAACTGGCCTTTGCGTGTCAAGTCTGCAGGTCTTTTGCAGCTTGTACTTTGCAAAAGCTGTAAAAGCAAAATGGCCTTCCAATGCACAAGATATACCAGATAACTGGAATTCCACATTCTGCTTGAGCAATGCAAGTCTATTATTGATTATGCAGTGTTTAAGAAGGCGACAATCTCTATCTAACTTTCACAATGAAGTTCTATGAAGTCTGCTATTCTGAGAGTTTTTGATGAGGCTTCTCAAAGCCGGAGTCAAAGATGCCTATCTTAGCCAGGTTGTTCCACGTATTTGCTTACTAAAAGAAACAAATGTATCCCATGCAAGCCCACTTTAGAGAGGTGGATGATGCAGTATTTAGAGAAGGGTTAGATCTTTGAGAAGAAGACCTGTGTATAATTTATATCCTACAGTCTGAGGAGTAGGTTGTTGTGGCATTTTCATAGTTTCATAGTTGGTAGGGTTGGAAGGGACCTAAGTAGGTCATCAAGTCTAACCCCCTGCCACGAGCAGGAAAGGATGCTAGGGTCAAACAACCCCAGCTAGGTGATTGTCTAGCCTCCTTTTGAAGATCCTCAGGGTAGGGGCGAGCACTACTTCCCTAGGAAGTTGGTTCCAGCTCCTAGCTGCCCTGACTGTGAAGTAGCGCCTCCTGAATCTACTCTGTCAGCTTAAGGCCATTATTCCTTGTAACTCCCAGGATTGCTCGGGGGAACAGGGACTCCTGTTGCCTGCTGGTCCCCCTTGGCAAGTTTGTAGGTGGCCACCAGATCCCCTCAGCCTTCTTTTGTGTAGGCTGAACAGGTTCAAGGTCCCGTAGTCTCTCCTCATAGGGCCTACCCTCTTCCTCCCTGATCATGTGAGTGGCCCTCCTCTGGACCCTCTCAGTGCTATCCACATCCCTCCTTGAAGTGTGGCACCCAGAACTGGGTGCAGTACTCCAACTGCGGCCTGACCGATGTTGCATAGAGGGGAAGGATCACCTCCTTGGACCTGCTCGTGATGCATCTATGGATGCATGACAAGGTGTGGTTAAGCTTCCTGACTGCGTCCCCACATTGGTGGCCCATGTTCATCTTGAAATCGATAGTGACTCCAAAATCCTTTTCTGCCTCTGCTGACAAGAACCGAGTTCCGCAGCCTGTAGGTATGCTGCTGGTTCTTCCTCCCCAGGTGCAATACCTTGCACTTGTCTGTATTGAAACCCATCCTGTTCTCATCTCCCCGCCTCTAACCTGTCCAGATCTAGTTGTAGGCTGTCCCTCCCTTTTAGCGTGTTCACTTCTCCCCATATCTTAGTGTCATCTGCAAACTTAAACAAGGTGCTTTTCACCCCCTTGTCCAAGTCACTTACGAAGATATTAAACAGTGGGGGCTGAGGACCGAGCCCTGGGGAACCCCACTATCCATGTCTCTCCAGGTAGAAAGTGACCTGTCCACCACCACTTTCTGGGTGCGGCCCTCCAGCCAACTTGCGACCCATCTGACTGTAGGCGTTGACACCACAGTCGCCTAATTTCTTAATGAGAATGGGGTGAGAGACAGTGTCGAAGGCCTTCCTAAAGTCCAAAAAGACTACGTCCACCGCGACGCCTGCGTCCAAGGCTTTTGTGACCTGGTCATAGAAGGCAACCAGGTTGGTCTGACAGGACCTGCCTCTAATGAACCCACGTTGGTTGTTGGTTGCCTCAGCATAATCTCCCCTGCTGGCCCCTTGTAGATGTGCTCCTGGATAACTTTCTCAAAGAGCTTTCCCAGGACCAAGGTAAGACTAACAGGCCTATAGTTTTCTGGGTCCTCTTTCCTCCCTTTTTTGAAAATGGAGACCACATTGGCCCTGTTCCAGTCCTCTGGCACCTCGCCAGAGCACCACGAGTGCTCGTAAAGCTGTGCCAGGGGTCCCACAATGACCTCTGCCAATTCCCTTAGCACTCTGGGGTGGAGATCATTGGGACCTGCTGATTTGAACACATCTAGTCCCTTCAGAAGTTCCCTGACTAGGTCTTTGCTGACCCTGGGCCTGTCTGCGCCTCCCCTGGGTCCATCCAGGTTCCTAGTGGCAAAGATGTCCCTGTCCCTACTCAGAAAAATGGAAGAAAAGAAACTCTTAAAGAGAATAGCTTTGTTGCCAGATTGCCAAGCATGTCCTGCAGAGACCCCATGTTACTTGGTACCTTCTATTTTACCCTCTATGTATTTAAAAAATGACTTGTTATCCTTGATCCATGTCGCTAGTCCCAGTTCCATCTCTGCTTTAGCCTTCCTAACAGCCCCTCTACAGTCTCGAGCCAAGGAGGTGTAATCCTCCTTGGTGATGGCCTCTCCCTTCCATTGGGTGTACACCTCCTTTTTGGCTTTGAGACCTTCCTGGATGCTTTTGGTGAGCCATGGGGGCTTTTGAGTGCTCTTGCCCACTTTGAGCCGTGTGGGGATTGTCACCCTTTGGGCTTGGAGGATCGTCTCCTTAAGGAACAACCACTCCTCTTAGACTCCCAACTCTGCTCCCCTCAGGGACCTCAGAGCCTCCCCATCTAGTCTCCTTACCTCATTGAAATCCACCCTCCTAAAGTCCAGGGCTGCTGCCTTGTTGCAGGCCTTCGACACCCTGCGCTGACTTTGAGCCGTGTGGGGATTGTCACCCTTTGGGCTTGGAGGATCGTCTCCTTAAGGAACAACCACTCCTCTTAGACTCCCAACTCTGCTCCCCTCAGGGACCTCAGAGCCTCCCCATCTAGTCTCCTTACCTCATTGAAATCCACCCTCCTAAAGTCCAGGGCTGCTGCCTTGTTGCAGGCCTTCGACACCCTGCGCTGGATGGCAAATTCCAGTAGGCAATGATTGTTATTGACCAGATGGTCAAGCACCCGCAGCCCCCTCACCAGGTTGTCGCCTGTGGCCAGGACCAGGTCCAACAAAGCATTTCCCCTGGTGGGACTGTGCACCTCCTGGGTTAGATGGAGGTCCTGTAACTAGGCTAGGAACCTACCTGGCTGACTGCTCTTCCTAGCAGGTGTCCGGATAGTTTAGGTCACCCATGATGACCACGTCCCTTGACTTACCTGCCTCCGTGAGCTGACCAGAGAATTCCTGGTCCAGCTCTTCCCCCTGG